ACCTATCTCCACTTTTCCAAACCCCCACACTTACAACCAAAAAAAAGAAAAAGAAAAAAGTAAAAGTAAATCAAAACCCATTCTCAACCAAATCACTTCTAGATAGAAAATTCAGACCCTACCCCATCACATTAAAATTCATGGCCTGACCTGCATTTACCACCTCCATGCTTGAACCCAGAAAGTACCACCACCCATCCCCACAGTTAGATTCCCAAAAGTGAGTCATGCTATAAGCGTTTGCCAGTCTGTGTTCTCAAGGAAGAAGCTTTCTCCTTGAAGTCTATGTCCCTCGAAGCTTTCTCCTTGAAGTCTATGTCCCTCATGCAGAGCACAGGATCTGGGACACAGTATCAGAGTACAAGAATTGTTCTTTGGGAAGCTTTCTTCCAATAGTATACTCTATCCGTGAGTTCCTGAGTTTCCAATTGGTAGGACAATATGCACAGGCTTATTTTTAAGTGCCACGGATGCAAAAGTCAACTAAAAGAAGATCTAGGCTGAAACTGCAAGACAGGAGACTGACACAGGCCCAATCTCCACCCCCACTGGTCTTATTCCTTCTCTTCCTTCCGGAAGTAGCTACAGCCTGCATGGTTAATGTTTCTTCTGAGAGTTACTCCCTCTGCTGCTCCAGCAAAGCCATGACCTAAATCAGAAAAGTGCTAAATGCAGTTAAGGACTAATAGAGCATCTCTCGCTTGCTGTTGCACTAATTGGAGAATGCAGCATACATTAGAGAACGGTTGTATTTAAGTTTCAACAATAAATCCTAAATAAGCTAAAAGCGTCTGCCTAGTTTTGAGCTCACGTCTTTTCCACATCCTGAGGGAGTCTGCTTAAAATAGATCAGGATTGTAATCAGTATGAATTCTGATCACAGACAGTTCCCAAAGTGCAATAGGAGATAGGCAGGATGCAGTCTTGTTTAACTCTGAATCCCTACAGCATATAGCAAGCCACAGTGTCAATAAATGTCTGTTATAATCTAGTGATCTTCTTGTTGTTGGTTATTTGCTTCTTTGGGTTTTTGTTTGTTTGTTTGCCTCATTTAGTTTTACTTTGTTTTAGACAGGTTCTTGTTTTGTAGCCCAGGCTGACCTTGAACTTGAGACTTGCCTGAAGTGCTGGGGTTATAGGTATGCACCACCATGCCTGGCCATGATTCTTCATTTTGTGCATGTACTTGCAAAGTTTGTCCTCTGCAGCCTTTTTAACCATTCCCTAAGATTTGCCTTTATAATGGAAATATATATGATACAATTATAATGAAATCCAATTGTCCTCAATGACAATTATCAATCTGTAACACACCAGCATGCCTACAGGCATGGAAATCCTTTATACTGTTCTCTAGGCAAAAATATATTATTTATTTGTTTTAAAACACTATCAATTACTTTAAGATCATAGAGCATTCTCTAAAGTCTGATCAGTCACCATTGACTTTCAGTTCTGTACCAGGAGGTGTTAACACTCATAACACTAGTTGGTGCTAGATAATCAGAATACTAATGCTCTGTAGACCAGATAGAATGCATTCATCAACTGGAGGTACAATTTCAGAAGCAAACTAATCAAAGCCACACACACACACACACACACACACACACACACACACGCACACACACGCACATGCACACACGCACACACACACGTACACACAGAGGCTCCTTGCCTTCACTAGTAAAATCTTGCATTCTTGGAAATCAGAAGCACCAGGAACTCCCTGGAGCTAAGAGTTCCCTGCAGTAGGGGATGAAACAATTAGAGCGTAGCCAGACAGGAGAACGTTGTTGCCTAAAGCTTAGAGAATTTCCCAGGGACCTATTTAAAATGACTGCTGCCTGTTTTTAAACCAGTTACAAAACTCAGTGCTCATAAAAAAAAAAAAAAAGTACCCATTCTTGAGATTTCTATCTTAAACATCATGGTTTTTCCTCCCTTAGTTATCACTGAGGGGACATCTATGTTCAAATATCTCATTTCTCCTGTCCTCCAAAACAGATTTTTGAAAACAACTTCATTCACATTGTAAAGTAGTACAAAGAACTTTCCTATCTTAATTGCATATGCATTTCCATTCATGAAAACAGTCCTATGTGGTGCTGAACTCATCAGAACAAGGAAATGGCACCTTGAGGTTATAGGTGAGCGTTTGTTCTATTGCAAGGTGAGAAGGACACAGAGACACTGGAGGACTTGTAAGTCTCATTATCCTCCCCCCCCCCCAAAAAAAAAAGCATAATTCAAAGAGGATAGTGTTAATAGTGGTTGAGTAGGAAACAGGCTGGGGTAATGGATAGCAGAAATGATGATGGCAGCTAATATTGGAGATTGGTGCTTTCCACTTTTGATACCTCCCAAACAATACAGGAAGGGCAAATGCCCTGAAACATAAGTGATAACAAAGAAGAAAGTCTTAGAATAGTGAATTTTATAGACAATTTGAGTGTGTGTGTGCTGGTTTAGGGGCTTGAATTCAGGATCTGGGTGCTGTTCCTTAGCTTTATTTTCTCAAGGTTGACACTCTAACATCTGAGTCACAGCACCATTTCCTGCTTTTTGGTAGTTAGTTATTACTAAGACTCTTGAGGACTTTTCTGCCTAGGCTGGGTTCAAATCATGAGCTCAGATCTTAACCTCCTGAATAGCTGGGAATTAGCAATAAGCCAGTGACACTTGACTCACACCATAGGATTTAAACAAAAACAAATCTGATTCATCCAGAACTAGAGGCACTAAATAATAGATGGAGAAGAGCTGCTCTGAAATGCACACACCCAACACATGAGTTTTCTTTCCACTTAATCCTTGTCTGGTCTACAAGAAATGAGGGGGAAAAGATGCAAGCAGCTAGCATTCCTTGCATTTTGAGTGTCTTTTCTTCTCATCTCTTCTCCCTTCTTCTTATTAATCCACTTACCGTGCCCAGTTTGATTATCTTTATTGATCCTTTTTGTTTCCTACCCAGTCATTTTAATTTAGCTGTTGTAAGGTCTCAGCAGGAATCCCATTTCTTTTTGGTATCTTTGGAGGACTTTAACTTGTTCTTTCCTAAACAGTTGCCTCATCCTGTCTCCTGCTCCCTCCCTATCGACACCCCCCCCCCCCCCCCGCTTTCCCCCACCCCCCCCCACCCCCCGCCGCCCACCATGGCTGAGTCCTTTGTGCACTCAATAACAGCGAGAGAATTCCACAGGGAGTCACAGGGCTGATTCCAGGACTATGCATCAGGTTGCTCACTTAGGATTCCAAACATCCATCTCTAGGCATCCTAGGCTGCCTCTCAGAGAACTTACCAATTGCAAGAAACCTACAAGCTTCCCTCCCCCCCCACCCCCCGATATTCTCACTGTGGAGATTGCAAAATGGACAGACAGATGAACTCGGAGGTGTGCAGAAGAAAACCAGAGCAGAACCTCAGGGACCAGAGACATCTGGTGAGGAAGGAAGGAAGGATTTAGGAGCTGGGCCACTTAGCAGGGCAGCAGGGAAATTCACTCCCGAGAATGTCGCTATCGCGCATTCACAAGCCTTTGCTAATCGCTTACTTCTCCACCCTACCACATTCACCAGGCCTGGGGGCTCCCGAGCCCCCATCTACCACCACACCTCTTCCTGACCCCCCGGGTCTCCCCAGATCACAGAAGGACACATCAGCCGCTGAGCCTCATTTAAGAAGTTGGGGCTAGCACGCGCCTACCCAGCCCTCCAGATTGGAAAAGAAGTGTATCCTAGGATTGTGTATGTGTGAGTGTTTGTAGAGATCCCTGAATTGCCTCTGCTTGCGTCGTTCCCCGACCCCCCACTCCAATTCCAGGAAAAGCTTCCAAGCTTCCCCAGCTAGCAATCACAGGCAAATGAAGTAAAAAAGATTCCGGTGTGAGCTCGACTTCACCTGGAGGTTCAGAGATCCAGGTGACCCGAGAAAAACCCTGGACAGAGCAGCCTGGACTCCTTCTCAGGTCACCAAGCCCCAAAGGCTGGGGGCAGCCTCCACCCCTCCCACCTCCGGGGAGCGCAGCGATCAGCCTCGGTGCGGATCCTGGGTTCTTGTCCACCCCCAATCCCGGAGCCCATCTCCTCCCGGGCTGGCCTGGTCCAGAGCCCCGGTACGCGTATCTGAAGGCTTACAGGCGTTAATGAACATGTCAGCGTTCTACACTGGCTAGTCACGCCGGGGAGTTGCAGATCTGCTTTGAACCAGCAGCCTCTTGCCTCTTGAGCGATGGGGTTTAAGTTTCTCGGTGTGGTGGTGCCAGGGAGACCCGGAGAGGGTGAGGGCGGAGAAGGCATGCGTGCCCACCCGCACTCGGCCCCTGCCCCTCTCTGGGATCCTGGGTCCGGGAGGGCGATCTAGCTTTAGCGCGTCTGGACCAGCAGCCCAGAGGGGCACCGACCACTTGGGCACAGTGTGTGTGTGTGTAGGGGGGAAGAGAAGGATAGGGGCCCCTTGGCTGTAAAGGACACATTTTCCCAGCTGAGACTCAAGGAAGATCCTGCCAGGCCAGTCACCGCACGGCGCGGGGGAGCCCCCGCACAACACGCGCGTCCGGGGTGCCTCCACGGCACCCCCCACGGCGTCCCCTAAACCTCCGCGTGGACCACAGGCAACGATGCGCGCGCGCGTGTGCACAGCCCAAAGTGCAAGAAATACATACTTCCCCCCCCCTCCCCCCCCCCCCAGGCTTCCAACAGGCACCGAGACGGGTCCACCACCCCGTGCGTGCGTCCCCTGTTCCATCCTGGCTCATCTCGAGGAAGCAAAGAACAGATAAAAATAAAACCATGGAAAATCCGAACAGTCAAAGCTCCTTCACTAGTTGGGAAAGTGGCATTTAAAAGTGGTTTCCAGCTGCGAGGCATGAGGCAGATTGGGGCGGTGGGGGGGGAAGGGGGCAGAAGTCCAGGTGGAGGAGAAGAGGTAGAAAGTGGGGGAAAGGAGGAAAGCAAGAGAAGCGGCCGCGCAGCCCGGCGCCCGCACCCCTGCAGCTTACCTTGGGCGGCCGATCCGGTGCCGCTGGCGCTGAGCAGGGCCAGGGCAGGTAGCACGAGCATTTGCAGCAAGTATCCCAGCCCCAGTCCGCAGCGGGCCGCGGTGCCCCGCAGTCCTTTCCTCATGGTGGACCGATCCAAGGGGGTGCCCGAGGTGGGGTATGTGTCTATGTGTGTGTAGGGGGGCCGGAGGGGGTGGGGGAAGCAAATCCTCACCGGGCAGCAGCCGAATCCGTGCCCCACCAAGCAGTCCAAAGGAAATAACCAGCAGCGAGCGCCACCACACTCCACTTTTTCTCCAAGGGCGGGGGGGGGGGGGGGCGCAACCGAGGGGCGGAGAGGAGATGGCGAGGAGGAGTTTGACGATCGCTCTCCGCCGCCGCCCGTGCCTTCGAACCGACGACCTGAAGTCTCCCCGCCAGGGGCTGCTGAGCTCCCCACTTTGGGAGCAAAAAAAGTCCAGGCAGGGCGCAGCGAGACTGCCGCCGCCGCGCGAGCCGAGCGCCGAGTGCTTCTCTGGGTCCCCTCGCCCGCGCGGAACACACACACACACACACACACACACACACACACACACACACACACACGGAGCCCGGGGTGTGGGGAGGGGGGGAGTGGGCGGGGGAGGGAGCGGCAGGAAGAGGCTCGGGCACGGCGAGGCGCTCCGATCTCCAATCTCAGTGCTCCTCACCCGGGAAGAAGAGACGCCCCAGCCTCCGCCGCCGCCGCCTCCGCCAGGGAAGGGCCAAGGACAGTCAACCTCCCAGAGCGGGGCGCACGGAGATGGGGGATCCGGGTGGGGTGGGGGGCGCACGCTCGCCCAGGAGGTGCCCAACTCTGCCTGGGGGTGGGGCTGGGGGTAGGAGCCGAGCGGCGGCGGGCGCGCGCTCGCCCACCTTATGTAAGCCAGGATGGAGCCAGATCCCTGCCTGGTGCCGGAGCTGGTGATCGCGGGTTGGTGTTACTCACTCCAGCCGCGGCGACGGACGCCGCGGGGAAGAGGCGGCGGCGGCTGCGCTGGAGAGCGCGCCTGCCTCCCGCGGTGAGCCTGACTCCGCCGGGCGAGCGCTGGGGACGCGCTCCCCGCCGCTAGGCTATGCGCTACCGGACACACCGCGCTGGCAAAGCCGGAGCCAGATTGCCTGAGACTCGGCTCGCTCTAGGACTTCATGGCTTTTGTTTTGTTTTGGTTGATCACGCCTAATGTGGACTCGAACTTGTCCCCCCAGTGCTGGGGAAGAAGTCGTGAAGCTTTTTTTTCATTCAGTTCACTATCTGGGTTGTCAGCGGCGAGCAGACCGTTTCCTTGCTCTGGCAAGTCTGTGTTGTGACCTCCTTGCGGTGGAACAGAAACTAAACGATCAGTGAAAGAAAACTCCTTTCTTCCACAGTGCGTTCTTTGCGTGCATCTCGGTGGCTGTCTGTGCTTGAGTGTTTAAAGGTATTGACGCAATACAGGAGGAGAAATTCTTCCAGGAAAATAAAATAAAATAAAAAGCACAACAGAATGTGTAGAGACCCAAAGTGCTGTTGGAACATCTGACATATTTTCCAGATTCCTAACTGCATGCGTAAAAGGCAGGAAGACAGATTCAGGAAGGACTGTTCAGTTAGGTGGAGGATTCCTGCTATAGGGATGAAGGACGACTGTCAGAATGGGTGGGTAACAGGAAGAAAGGTGAAACAAAGGAAAAAGAATGGATTTAAAATAATTCAATTACAGAGGCACTGCGGGAAGGAGTAAAAGCCCTTTCTTAGAACAGTGCATTTTATAAACACACACACACACACACACATACACACACACTGACACTCACAGAGCAAACTTGATCTCTAATTCTGACTATGGTTGGAACTCACTTTGCTGTCCTACAGGGTCAGGTAAACTACATGGCTCAGTTTTTTCACCTGTTAAATAATTGATTAGCCTTTTTTTAGTTCTAACACTCCAGGATTCTGCTTTGCCTTGCTCCATCTAAACCACTAGCTCATGATAACTCTCCTGGATGAATCCCATAGCCCTGAGAAGGCCATATACTTGTCAGAGAGCAACAAAAGGCATCAGTTCTAGTGGCTATGTCTGCCACTTAAAATCTCTTCACTTCAGTTTCTCCTGCCAACACATCATGATGGTTTTGGTAAGAGGGGAGGCACTGGAGTCCGATTATCTGTTCAGTTCTTCATGTTTTGCTCCATGGGTGATACAGAACAAGTAAGGCTAGGTGTCTCTGTTTCCTAATCTGTAAAATAGGTCTAACAGCAGCAATTCTCATAAAGGGTTTTGTCAGGGCTTAAATGAATTACACATATGCCGAATGTGCGACACATTAAATTATTAACTGTTATTTTTATTGGGGATGGAAGATTTGCACCAGCTTTATGCTAACTAGACCAGTACTATTCGACAGGACTTTCTGCATTGAGGTACATGTTCATATCTATGCTCTCCAAAATAATAATCAGTACATACATGTGGCTATTTAGCTCTTACAATGGGGCTCCTATGAAGAGGTAATTTTAGATTGTATTTAATTCATTTAGATTTACATAGCTGCATGTAGAGAGTAACAGCCATGTTGTGTGGTGCAGGTTGGCTACTAGTAACCTGCCAATTATTCTAAATATTGTATCACAAGAAGGGAGTAGTATGATTATATTTGAATTTTTCCAAGAAGTATAACAGCCCAAATTCTATTAAGGAAATATGCTTTCCCCCTCTCCCCCCATAATCACTATCCTGAATAAAATTTTGAAGTTATTCATTTATTCTTTCACAAATCTTTTTTGGGTTTTCTTTCCTAACTAGAATTTTACTCTTGTATTAACATTGTATTCCATCCCCAGCACTCCCTACAGCATCTGATATGTAATTTGTATTTAATTAATTATTGATTGATCATTTAATTATTTAATTATTGGTTGATTATCCAAAAGGCTCAATTGGGGAAAAAAATCCCTCAAAGTCTAGTACAGTTACAAATGGTTGACATTATCACAGACTCTTGCTTGGAACATTGAAGTGCTCAATAGTAGATTCTGCAGGAAATGTGTTCCTTGGGAGACTGAGAAAGAGATAAGGGGAAAAGTGGTTCAGTACTGAAATTCAGCCTAAAGAGGGCAGAAGAATGGTTTGAGAAGTGGGTTAGAGAGAGGGAAGTGGAAAAGGGGAAGAGAGTAGAGATGGAAACAGAAAAGAAAGGACAGGAACACACCAGTAACTACATTAGCTTCACCTCCCAGGCAAGTTTCTTGATTAGTTATGGTAACAGGATATTTGCCAGTGTACCAGCATCCTGCCAAATTTTGTTAACTGTCACATTTTTGTTCTTCAGGAAATCTATGATGCGTGTTTCATTAGGCTCTTGAGAATAGGCTTGCTAACAACAGTCAGATCTGGGCTCTGCTATCACTGCCTAGAGAGGCCTTCTCTGACCAATTTACCCAAAATAGCAACAGCCACCTTCATTTATGCTCATAAGTTTTGCTTTGTTCTAGCACTTATTTATATGTGTGTATGCAATCTTTTTATCTATCTATGTATATGTATACATACTTATATGCTTATAGATGAATATTCTCTGATAAAATATATGCTTCTCCAGGGAATTTTTTTTCTAGTATGATCAGTACTCCATATCCAGAATCTAGAACCCAGCCCAGAATTAGTAGTTAGTCAATAAATATTTACTGATTATTAAAGAGATGAACAAGAGCCAATGGATTTTAAAACTGAGCTAAATCCTTATTACTGCTCCCTCTTCCCATATATTTTCAAAATATGGGTAGGTTTTTCTAGTTATTGAGTAAAATCATATTTGAACAAAAATTAAAACAAAATTGAAACAAAAATATTAACCAAAATTTTATCTGACTATGGCTTTGAGGTTGCTGTAAGTGTCTAAGGAACTAACATGAAATTCATCCCATTTTGATAAATAAAAAGCTTCATTTAAATCCATATACAAGAGCTTCCTATTTCTTGGCTGCATTGAGTAGAGAATTAACTCTGGGATAATAAATCCCAGTGACAGGTGCTAATGGGAATTAAGCATGCAAATCCCTTGCATATCCCTCCAGAAATCTATACCAAGAAAAGTATGCTATTTAGCATGTGGGCTGTTTAGTAATAATAGTATTTACTCTAAACTGATTTGAAAAAAAAACTTCCCAGCTTAAGACTTAAATAAGGAGCAGAACATACATTGTAATTATGGAAATAGTTTCTTTATTTTTATCTCCGTCCTTAGGTTTGAGTCCTCATATTTTGTATTATTATGTAATTTTAGAAAACTAAGTCTTCATACAAGAGATGTGAATTAATAATGTGAAAGGGGAATTTTTTTTTTTGCCAGTCCTGGAGCTTGAACTCAAGGCCTGGGCACTGTCCCTGAGCTTCTTTTGCTCAAGGCTAGCACTCTATCACTTGAGCCTTGGCACCATTTCCAGCTTTTTCTGTTTATGTGGTACTGAGGAATCGAACCCAGGGCTTCATGCATACTAGGCAAGCACTCTACCACTGAGCCACATTCCCAGCTCTGAAAGGGGAATTTTAGTAAACAAACAGAATAATGATGAGGAAAGCTCATTTCTAACTAGGAACTTTCAATCCAAAGGTTTCAGATGAAATTACTGATAGAGGAACATAATTAAGGAGAGGGAGATGATCTATGTTCAGTTGGTTCAATCCCCTTGCTTTGCCCCTGCCCAAAGAAGACTTGGCCTGCCATAAACTTATAAGCCCTACAGCTTTATGTTTTATTCACTGAATTATATTATTAACATATTTATCAAATTTATTTACTAGTAGGCTAAATAACCCAACTCAAGCCACTGTAATAAAATAGAGGACTTATTGTTGTATGCGACTCAAATATCTAGGGAAAATATCTGTGTCAGTATGCCTAATATTTATTCATCCATCACTACCTGGTCAAGCACCATGCTCAACACTTCATGTGTACTATCTCATTTAACTCTGAAACTGAAGATCCAAGTACTTTTTATTGTGTCTTGGTTCCTTTATATTATTATAACAGAATACTGAAGATTGGTAAATTTGTAAAGAATAGGTAGTCCCTTGTTCCTAGTTCTGAAAAACACCAAGAAAGTCCTCCATTGAGGGGCTGACAC